CCTGCCAGTCACACTCTCCCTCATCAGCACAACTCTCCTCACCTGTTCTAGTCACTATTTAAACCCTGTCTTTGACGCACTCACTGCCAGATCATTGTGTTTGTTTTCTACCTACCCGCCCGTTTTGCTCGTCCTGTTCTCGGTTTTTCAGCCTGCCTGTTCTGCCTTGTCCAGCCGGATTTCCCCCCTCGTTTCTTGTCCTTGGATTCCCTGTGTGTTTTTGGTTTGTTCATTAAACCCTTTTTCTCTTCACCTGACTGTCTGCATTTGAGTCCTCTTTATGTGCCGTGACAGTCGGTTAACGTGATTTACATTGCAGTTTCATCCTCTGGGGACCATGAACGTCTGAACCAAATCGTTTGACAAACAATCCAAAAGTTCCGGGCCTGCATTGGTTTCCCCCCCCCCCCAAGAGCCACGCTACGGCTCTGAAACACGCCATCTACAGTTCCGCTCTGCCGCAACAGCATAGAGCACGGATGGGCAATCGTGTTAACACAAGCCCGGCAAAGCGTCTGCATCGATTTAATTTGGCAATTACTAAAACGGGCCTCATTTATCATCACCTTAAGCTTTCACGAACTTCTCCATGAGATGTAATAAGACTGAGGAGGAGCAATCTGTCCCCCACTTCTCATTAGGACTCTAAAGAGATCCCCCCGAAAGCTTAATTATTTATCTGCATTAATATCCCTTCTATTATTAATGGTAGGTGAGTGTGCGCGTGGGGGTGTGTGCGCGCGCAAGGGCCAAAGATCAGCCCTCCTTTACCTCAGCCTCCCTCCTGATTAATGGATGAGGGAGAGGAGCCCTTCATGTATTATTACTGCAGAGATCCTGGACCTTGGAGGGGGAGAAAGAGGGGGAGACAGACAGACAGAGAGAGGAAGCTAAGTGAATGATAATCACTGTTTAGTATGCAAATGTGTCCCTGTACGTCGCTGGCATTTCAATATTAATGGCAGAGAGTGATGGGGTTGAGAGTCCCACCATTGAAAATCCATCCCTGTTTGCGATACCTCCACTTAAATTTGACACCGGTGGCACAAAGTTGTGAAATGTCAACCGGTTCGACGCCGATAGCCCCAAATCATCGGCTGTTTTGTAAGACTGCTTTTACAGCCTCGCTGCTGTGGTACGGAGATGTTTCACATCATAACGCTGACATTTTTAAACCAACATAAGTGGTTTTTCTGCCCGTTTAAATGCTTTCGTTGTTGGTTTTATTGGCTTTTATGGTGGGAGAGAAACATATATAAGTGTTATGCTGTTTTCATCTCTTCTGATTTATGCTTCCGTTGTGCTTCCTAATCTTTGTCTGTGTCTCCTCAACTAAAGTGAAACGTTAAAACAGTTCGGTGTCCTTTTTTTGTCTTCCAGCTGCTTTACTCTGACATCTGGTGGACGAGCACGGTGTTGCGAGGCAGAATGTGTTGTTATAGTTCATGGACAACTTAATCCGTTATTAAAAAGTTAATTTTTTTTAAGAAACGAGTGTCATCCTCACAAAATAAATGTGATGTAATGTATTTAGATGTTTGTATGCATGTGTCATGTGTTAGCGTATCTTATCCAACATAGT